GGCGCACAGCGCCCCCTGCCGGCACACCGGGCAGCTCCGGACACCTTCAAACAGCCAAGGCCGCTCAGACTGACTGAGCACCGGGACAGGGGCACACATTGGGAGGAAGGGCACCCTCACCTTCTTCCAGCTTCTTCTTCAGCTCTTCGATTTCCTTCTGAAACTGGCGGAGCAAGGCATCCTTGGGGTCTTCGTTAATCCTGGCCTTGTTCTTTATGTTCTTGGCTCGGTTCGCGTACCGGAGAGTGCTGATAGTCTCGTCGTAGTTGTAGTCCGCTGGACCAATGTTTGCGCACTGTGACACACGGAAGACCGAGTTACCGGAGGACAGAGCGTCAGAGCCCAGAACAAGTAATTCCCCAGGGACCCATCCCCAGCGCTGCCAATCTCACGCCGCTGCTCTTTCCCAAGCTTTCCTCTGCACCAAAGCTGCTTTGGGCTACCCAAGCACAGCTTCTGTCTGCTCTTACACACACAGGTCTACATTTGCACTGTGTTTTGAACCTCATCTCCACAGAGGCAAAGAGAAAAGATAGAAAAACCACATAAAACAAACAGCTCGGAACCGAAGAGGTAAACGCCAGGCTGTTCTCGTGGCGAAGTCACTATGCTACCCCCGCAAAAACACAGCTCAGTAGCCGGCACGGGAAAGGGCGTTTCTCAGCTTACCATCATGGTTTTGGAGTTGCCCCCCAGAGAATCCTGGAGGAGCCGTGTCAGTTTGGAGTTGCGGTAGGGCACGTGGGTGCTCTTGCCATCCACCAGCGCAGAGATAACGTTCCCCAGTGTGGAAAGAGAGAGGTTGATCTTAGTCGCTTCCTTCAGTCGCTGCCCCGTGGCTCCAGTTTTCGCCTGTCTTTCAGAACCCTGGAAAGGGAACAGGAGGCAGAAGCAGGAGTCACAACAGATCCTCTAACACATCTCCCTCCTCCTGCACCTGCAGTCTTGCTGGCAGCCACACCACTAACCACCTCAGCCATTATTAGGGGGCCTGGCTAAGCACCTCAGACACTGTCAAAGAGACAAGTCAAACAGATCTTCACTGAAGCTTTCAATGCCAGCAAATTCTGGATTGCTCAAAATAATACAGCTGGGAAAATGGAGATTTTTGTCCCACTGAACAAAAATTTTACAAGCAGCAAGTCGGCAGTTACAAGGTACCTCAACTGGAGCTGCTACATACCACCTCCAGCCTTTCCCACCAGCAGGTCAAGAGAGAAAAGCAACAGCGCATTTATTTTAGAGTTTCACACAGCAACCTAAAACATACATCATCTAAATAAAGGTACACGCAGACACTGCATGCCTTTAGTTTCCCCTTTCCTCCATCTTCTCCAAGGAAAGATGCTCCACTGTAAGGTTTGGGCAGAGCCACATTTCACCAGCACAATTACATCGGTTCAAAGTGAGTGACGGAGGGAGGGAGCCTGCAGGCAGTGAACTGCATCGTCACCCTCTAAAAAAAAGCCTCTTGCAAAGATGCAGTTCTGCTGTCCAGAGAGCTCTTTCCAGTGTAGTTTCTCCATTTAATAATTAATTTAGACACGCAAGAGAGACCTTTTCCTGGGACAGACTCCAGACACATTAACAGCCCTTCCTGGTACACTCTGATTTAAGCCCCCAAGTGAATGAATACTTCACAGAAGTCAGGCATCAAGCAGAAGCTGGGCTTCAGCCATGAAACAAGGGACATGCCCTTCACTGTGCCTTCGGCAGCACAGACACAAGCAGCCAGGCCCACCACGCATTACCCAGCTGGTCCTACTTACAGCGAGGTCAACGAGATGCAGCTTGCCCATGCGCACGTGCATGTTCCCATCAACCCCCTTCTCACTGCACTCAATAGTGATAGTGAAGATGGCGTGCGAACGGGAGCTGTGCTCATTCATGTTCGTGGCACCAACAGAACCTTTCAGAAGAAAGGAAAAGCAGTGATGTCTTCAGCGTTAATCACAGGCTCCTGTAACACTCTTCCTGCTCTCAGAGGAGACTCATCCCCTGCCTCTTTACCCAACCCTGTTTCAGAAGGTGGAAGTGGGATGCTCAGACTCTGCAGCAAACTGTATTCTTGGGCAGGGAAGTTGCAGCACATCTCCAGTTTGGACTAGCAGAAGTGTTACAGACTGCTGTAGCTCCAAGTCAGCCACAGACTCCCATCCCAAGAGCAGCAATAGTTCTCATCTGTTTCTTTAAGGCTACAAAGATCAGCAGCCTAAGGCATTCACGGTTGATCCCTTAAAACAGCTGTATCTCGAGAAATAAGAACACAGCAATCAGAACTTCAGGTCATAAAAGGACCCGAGCTGAACTAAGAAGCCTTCCAGAAAACACAAACCACCTCCCACTCACAGCACAGCTCAGGACTAGCTGTTCATCCTGATCAGAACCGAGGAGGGAAAGGGACCAAGACACACAGCAGCAGTTCTGACAGTGCTGACTGCCCTTGTTGCATCCTCCCTTTTGCCAGTTCCCCCCCGGCACTGGCTGATGTGGGAGATACAGCCTTCTTTACCTGCCCCTGCCCAAAAGGGGTTTGGGAGGAGAAATCCCTTTTGCTCTGCTCAGCTGAGCCACCTTTCCAGCACTAGGACCTCTTACTGCAGTCTCGTGAGAGCTTTGTTCTGTCCAAGCTACAAACCTGCCCACAGCAAGGCTACGTACGGTTCTTGTGGCCCAGAGTCATGATTCTGTCCATATCATCTGCATTGTTTACAACATACGCTGAAAGGTCTTTGATATAAACTCCCACATCGGGTCTCTCTTTAACCTAAGAGAGAAACAGTTTAGACTGAGCATCCTTAGGAGATCCCCAGGAGCAATTTTCAGTGGTACTGTAACAGTACAGTGATTTACTCCTCCGCTTTCCAGTTTGCACATAAAGCACTCCAACATTCCCCTGGTGGCAACAGTGACTTCCAGCCTCCAATTCCTACCCCAAAGGCCCCTCAGCAGTCTTTCTAGAACTGCAGGTACAAAACCCACTCGGATGGAACAGCCAGTTTCTCACTGGGCAACTGACCAAGCGGAAAAGATTCAGAGACATCAGCAGCGATACCCAGCTACTGCATCTTAACAGTAATGGTACACGTGCTGAGGAGCCCAACCTCCCACTTCCCTTCAAGTGCTTCTCTAGTCTTTGAAATATAACATTGCTCATTGCTGCAAAACAAACATCACACTCAGAACAGCAGGCTCACCTCTAATCTCTGTGTCTGGTCTTTTCCTAGCAGGTCCCGCACTTCTTCATTGTAAATTTCCAGGTAAGACACACGAACTAAAAACCTGAAGACAAACAGTTGGGCAGCTTTCTTAGCAAGGCATTTGTTGAAGTTCAACAAAAAAAACACAGAGTGCAAAGAAAGTGCAGTGATGTACCAACACAATCCTGCTACCCCATCAGGGGCTGCCTAAGCAGGAGTCTCTCAGCTAGGGCCAGAGGTACCATCTCAGCTGCCTTTGTCAAGGCCAGGCTCCAGCTGCAGATGGCCCACAAGAGACAGAAGCAGTGAAGAAAAGCTGTTTTACCTTGTATCCCCCTCTGCCTTGGCAATGTGACCAAATATATGGGCAAAGGAATTGGGAATGATGCCTCTAAGTTCAGGAACTGCTCGGACCCCTTCCATGGTGAAAGTTTTGCCTGTTCCCGTCTGCCCATATGCAAAAATAGTACCTGAAGGATAAGAAGATACATGAACAGACTCTTAAGAAGTTGCTAACTGCAGTTTTACTTCATCCCTTCTTAGCTTGCTAGCACTAAACACCTATTATGGAGCTGAAATGTTCCACCCACTCGGGCAGATACTGTACAAGGCAAGAGCGACAGAAATGCTGGACAACCACAGCAAACAGGGCTGAGCCACTGTTTCATCCAGCCTGCAAGATACCCAAGAAAAAATCAGCTTGGTTTAACTGCGCAGAGTGATTAAAGGATGGAGTGCTAGTACACGTAGGTATCACACACAAATAATTAAGGCAAGCCCAATTAATAACATGGTCAATTAGAGGAAGATCATTATATTCCAGCTGCAAAACCAGCTATTGCTAGTGCTCTAAGCCACAGCAGAAACAGAGTGAGGCTTCCACAACGCAGGCCACGGCACGCGCCCGGTTCTGAACCTGCAGAAGCAGCTACAATCTGGGCTAGATAATCAGCCTGCACTGAGGACATCCAGAAAATTTAATGAGGTCCCAGACTCTGGCACTGCAGAAATACAGGGTTCTTCAGTCTAGCCTAGCCCTGCTGAGCACTCAGGTTTTGACTGTCACGTCACTGACACTGCAGTTCGGAAAAGCTGAATTCTCATCAGCTGAAACCGGGGCGTGTTAGCACAAGAGCTTATTAGGCATTTTACAAACCTTTAAAAACTTTGTAATTTGTTGTTGTTTATAGCATACTGTTATGGAAAGCAGTAATTTGCTTCCTTACAAGCACCTGCTTTCCTTTACATAATACATTTACATGCACAACAGACACATACACAAATTGCAGTCACACTCTCTGTGGGACAGGGCAGGTGTGCTTAACTAGCCACCTGAGTTTAAAACAGCAAAGTTCAGAGGAGAAGACGCAGCAGTTATATGCACAAGTCTGGTATGCATACCTAGTTACTGCAGGACCGTGGCAGCTGCCTGGTTACTGAAATTGTATAGTGAAGAGCCGCTGAGAATTCTGATAATGAGATAAAGTGTATATCTTTTGCAAACAGAAGATAAAGAACAAAACATATAGCTAATTCGCCTCGGGTGAGTCTTGTTCATCACCGACCTCCCACTGTTAATGATCATAGTGGGTACAACCACCGAGTACTCAGAACAGCAAGTACCTCCAGGCTTTTTTAAAGTTAGAGGCCACAACAGAAACAATACAGGGCCACAGCCCTCAGCAGGTGAAACTCCCTTAAATAAGATCAGCAGGAACTCTAACAATGCAAAGAATAGGAGATGGGATCCTTGACTTCAGACAAGGGACTTACCATTGTACCCTTCTAGGACAGAGTCAATAATAGGTCTTGCAGTTAAGTTATAGACATCCAGCTGTTTACTCTCTGGTCCAAATACCGTGTCAAACGTAAATGTCTTGGGAGGCTCATTGGATGAGTCTGTTTTATGAACAGTTATAGTTCCTCTCATTTCATCGACGCTGACTGCCATTTTGTAGCCCGTAGCTTTCTCTCGATCATTAAGAGGCCGGCATCGAACAACAACCTTGACATTGTCACAGCTCTCTGGCTTGTCCAGCTTCTCAGGCTTGTTGATCTATAATTATTTAAAAAAGCAAAACAAATACACAGGCTCTAACGCTACTGTTAACACACTGTGTGTTTAAGCACAAATGCTGTTGAATCAACTCCAGCAGATGCATACCTCTCCGCAGGATCACAGACCTGGGGATTTAAAACCAGAACTGGTTTTTAATTAAAAGTGAGCAACTAATGTACACTTAGCCAACGCAATCTTCCTGTTTGCTCATGGGGAAACTCATGGAGTAAAACCTGAGAATTTCACATTCAGTATCATCCAAGAATTTCTTCCAGAAACAGCTTCACGCTTGCAAACGACCTGCAAGCAGTTTGCTGGAAGGAGGTGGAGCCGCACCATCCTTTTACCTTAACACTGACCACGCAAGTCTCAAACCTCACGGATGACATCAGCAGGTACCAGCAAGCACTGCCTGAAAGGAACTCAGTCAAGTCATCAGCTTCGGCTTACTTGCTGAATCTTCATTGTTTAGAGAACTCAAGCGCTGTATGACAAAACCTCACAAACCCTCTGATGGAACAGTTCAGGTTGGAAGGGATCTTCATCACCATTGATTAATACGTTGCCACAGGCTTCTCCTGGCTAAGGAAATCTAAAATCCATCTAATCTAGGAAAACCTAAAACACCGCCCTCGGTGGCAAGCGCTGCGGCTGGGCCTTTCGGTGCTTTCAAAGCAGCTCCCGCGGATGTCACCAAGACACAGCCGCCGTTTCCAAGGGCCTCTCCCACCGGCCGCCCCGGTCCCCCTCCAGCCTCCCCAGGGGGCCA